GGTTGTGGTGCGGGGGGAATGAAACACACAGGATGAAATGACGCCGCATTTGATGTTTCCACTTTTTGGCAATGACACGAGGCAGCCCTTTCCAGAGCGAAACAGGCAGTTTGAGTGGAGCCCCTTAACCCTTTTCACCACACTAAAGGTTTAATCTTACCGTAACTGTCGTAAGGGTCTCTATAGGAGCCTGAACTGGGCCGATCCATGTAACCCCTGGGCTCTCGTCCTCCACCGTAGCCATCTCGATCACTAAGAAACAAAGAGACGTTAGGCTGGATTCTTAAACTGCCATCACATACACGTTTTAGAATGATCACACACCTGTAACCTCTGGATCCTGACCCATAGTCATCTCTAGAACTGGAATGGCCCGAATACTCCCGGTATGGGTAATCACGTGGTGGCGGGGCATAGTCTCGACCGTCCCGTGAACTCATGTAGTCACGGCTGGAGTAGCTTTAAAACAACAGCTTGTGAGTTTCACTGAATACAGCAAGATTATTAGTCTATTGTTAAATCACCTGCATAGTAGGGCTGGTCCGAATACCATTTTTTGAGCTTCAAGCTTCAGAGGGAGGGGGCTGAACATATTCTTCTCTCTAATAAAGGCAGGAATCTCTGTGTGTCTGTCTGTTTGCATTTTTATTATGTTGAGAACTAGTGTTGTCAAAAGACCCGGTATTTCAGTACCAAGTCGGTACTAAAAAAATGAAAACGTTACGGTACCAGGTTTTCTTAAGTACCGGTGGTACCGAGTACCCGGTCAACCCGGTTCTTGATGCGCTATCCGAAAGCTATTCTCTTCCTGTGTTGCCAAGTCCGCGGTTTTCCCGCGGAATTGGGCTGCTTTAACACTGTTGCCGCGGCTTGTTTTTCATGTCCGCGGGTTGAAAAACGACCCCATTAACGTGATATTTAGCCCCTGGAATGCGAATTTTACCAGGGGAACCCCGCCAAAACATGCGCATTTTATCCTCAGAAGCGATTTTTACCGGGGGATCCCCTCGAAACGCGATTGGGCGGGTTTTGTTGTGAAAACCTGGCAACCTCTTCTTAAAAGCAGTGGCGACCTCAAGAGGAGGAAACGCATCAAACTAACAAAACACCCCGATCAAGTTCAAGCAGGTAAGTTTCAATTACATTTTTAATATTTAGAGCTTCTGTTATGAATATTATTCCATATTTTAATTTGAATTTCGGATTGAAATAAACATCGCCGTTAGCGTATACGTAGTTAATCGTTAGCATAAGTGCGGCTAACGCTAATATGAGCATTAGAATGAATTTTGTTCAAAATGATTTC